GTCTTGCTGCTGTCTGCCTCAATTCGCTTTTACCACTTTGCCATTAGGCCTGTCTGGCGACGTGCGATTGAGTCGTCTCATCTCCACTTTCACCACGTCTTTTTGCCAATTTTGTTTTTCAGTTTGTGTTTTCCAACAAACTTGCTGCACGCATAAAAGTTGCTGCTGCTGTCTTGCCGCTTTGACACCCTAGAGCAAGAAAACAGCACTGTCTCTGTCAGGACGTACTGTCGCCACGTTTGATGACAAGCTTACCATTCACTTATCAATTGACACTGGTCCGTGTTCCCCCGGTGTCTGTCTGTCTGCCTCTTTGTGTGTGTGTGCATTCCGTCTGTGTGTATCCTCTATTCACTATCCGACGGAAAAATCGACACCAGCACAGCCAGCACCTTCTTTGGCTGATCCTGTTTAGCCACCTCCACCTTTAACAGCAGCTTCAGCAGCAGGACCTGTCAGAGCAGTGCCTTTTGCCTGACAGCCTGTCGACCCTCAGCAGCACCAGCCCTGTTTAATTGATTATCGATTGACACTTTTGTTTGCTTGCCCGCTAATTGGGCGGTCGTGTTCCGTGTTCTCAAGTTGCAGTGTGTGGTCGTCGCTGATACACTTCCTAGTGTTGTCCCGTCGATACCGATGTAAGTCACGCTTCCTCCTCCCTCCCTCTTTCTCTTTCACTCACTTAACCGTTATTGAGAATCATTTTGCTTTGCACAATGCCGCCTCTTTGTTTTTGCGCAAATTAGCTGATTAAGTAAGACCAATTTGTGAGTGTGTGTGTGTACAGCATAGTCATACAAAACTTGCACCAGGCGATAATCTGCTAATGGAACCCACTTGAGGCGTCCATTAATAATTGAGCCTTTTTCTCTCGCTCAGTAGGACAGCAATCGTGTTGATATTAAGCAAGCATTTCTCTGTATTTGATGTTCACCAGTACGAGGTGATGAGTCCATCAGTCAACTGTGCTGTGTTTTGGTGGTGTAGCATTTCCCAGGCGAGCACTACTGCCACCACTTTTTCAGTACTTTTGCCTGAAAAGCACTTCTACGAGTGTGTTTATGTTCAGTGGTAAACTAAACTCGAACGTGTAAATGAGGATGGTAAAAATATGTGACTGCAGATTGACATTATCAAAGCAAATCTCGCCAGGATCACAGTCGCCTCCTGTGTGCTGTTCATCATCTTCTCATGATAAAAGTTTGAGCCAGTGTTGACTGACTAGGCTTAATGTTTTCCTCTTTTTCTTTCTCTTCCTCGCCGGCCTATTGTTCTCTCTCGTTTGCATAGAACTTTCTGCGGTACTTTCTCGCTCATCTTCACTTTCCTACTTTTCATCTTCTTCCCTTCTCTATTTACGCAATCGATTTGTTTGGGCAGGCGACATGTACCGTACAACTGTTTCTGCTGCCTTCTGCAGTTTGATGACTTTTAGTAGCTCGTTAGCGTATTGGGCAAGTCGCGTAATTAAAATGGCCTGTTTTACCCTCCTTTTATTCTTTTCATTCTCCTCCACAAAGTTGAGATTATTCAAAACTTTGGCGTCATTATAATAGCCGGGGCAGCAGTCACTGCCGCCAGAACAAAGAGACTGAATGGCTCGCCGAAGCTCAATGACGGCTAAACTTTCCTCACCGAAGAGCACACGCACAAACCATTCTCTCTGGGTGCCTCTTTCACCGATTGCCTGGAATTCGCCCCTGCACTTCTGCTGGCCTTCCGTACCGCTTACATTGAGTGTACACTCTGCTCTGCTTACATTGAAAACTCATTCTCCTCCACACTACTGCTGCTACCGCTCATCATCATCATCATCATCATCATTGTTTGATGACTTTGTGAGTGTTCAACTCTAAATATTGGCAGCAGTAGCAGCAAAGGATGTGAAAGCGGCAGTAAATGCCTTGCCATTTTTGTTCACACATCAAACGCTAAAGACAGACTCTTTTTCTCTGGCAGACGAGCAGGCAGTGGCTGTCTTGTCAGGACGAATCAGTGCAACTTCTAACGGTGCGATCGTTTTGAGCTGATTTGTGTGTGATTTGTGTGAGTGTACGAGTGTGTACGAGTGATGCCACTGGTGCTGAACAGCAGACTACGGTTTTCGTAGCATCATTGCCCAAATGCTTCTGCTGCTGTGGTGAGAAAGAAGCAGCTGGTTAGCACTGATCTTCCAAACTGCCACCAGATATAGTCTGATAAGTGAACGAAAGAAAAGTAGACTTCCTTTTTCTGAATCTAAACTGGCTTTTCCATTTGATCGAATGTTTAATCGATTTTCGGCCGGCAATCTTGCGCAACTCGACACTGATTCTGCCTAATTCTCTCTTCTCCTCTTTTGCTTCAATACGCTCAGTCAACAGTCAACAGAATAGTAGTATTTTTCTCTTTCTCTTTCTGCTCACCACCCAACCAATTTCAACTGAATGCAAACATTTGCCATGTGCACTGAGGCACATCTGTAGCTCAGTGCTGCTGTCGGTTAAACTTGAGCAGTTTAATTCGGTACCTACGCCCGACGCAGAATTCACTGAAATGTCAGTGCCGGTGCTGTGCCCCTGAATCAGTCAACACTTCTGCTTCTTTTCAGAATTCTTGCTCAGTTCAGTTGGTGCGACCGCAATCTGTCTGCAATTTGTTCTCCCTTTTTCTCTTCTTTTCAGCCCACACCTGTCAATCAGCATATGTGTCTGTGTTTCTGTGTTTGCTCATCGCCTGTCCTCTCTCATCGGAAGTGTTGCAATTTATCAGCCACCTACTTTTTCTCCTTACCAAATCAGTGATTACTGTTTTTATTAAGTAAGTGGCTCTCTAGTCATAATTATTTCAATGCTCACACCTTTATCTAACTTTGGTTATGACTCACTGTAATGGCAACACGAGGCGACTGTATTGTCTGATTTGTTTGGGTTGTTACTGTCTTTCTACCCTTCACATGGAGCACAGAGTACTACTGTTGATAAGAGAGCGTACTACACTGTGGATTGCATAAGTTGGCTGCAAAGAAGGCAATGCTGCTTCTGTTGTTGCGGCTGCCGGGTTTTTTTACTATTATTCTTTTCCTCTTTGCACGAGCTTGAACTTTGCTGCTATCGATCGACAAATTATCTCAACATGAGCAGACTCACCGACATCTGCACTAAAAGGCACACCGACCGAACGACCTATCTAGTGAGTTGCCACTTGTGTGTTTGGTTGTGAATTATTTATTGGCAGAGCAAGTTGCTGACGACCACATTTGCACACACACACACACCGGTTGGTTAGTTTGGCTGGACCAGTTGTGCGCCGATGTCGCTCCCGTAGGTGCACGCACTTGTTCATTCTTCTTTTTTGGTGTCAGTCGCAGCTGTGCCATCGATCACCTCAACTCAACTTTGTTCTGCTTTTACCAGTTCAACCTTTTGGTTTCCTCCACAACCGTTTACAGTATCTTTTTATCTTTTTTTACTTCTCCACAAATTCATTTCACTGTAACTCGGCACAAGTGAAAGTGAATCTCATCAAGTGGATTTTAGTGGAAACAGTGGTCGCGCCGTAACGACGAAAGGGAGCTCACCACCGCTTAGGGTCTCGTGCTCTAAACAGTACTTTGTTGTACGGCACAGACAGTGAGCTTAGTCAGGAGGTGATGTGCACAGCAACCGAAGTAGTGCCTCATCCACATCCTCATTCTCGTCGGTTCATCGCTACCCACTAGCCTTGACTTGAGCAGACTGAAGGTATTAACTCGGATTCAGCGTTTGTGTATCTCGGTGCGGCACTTCACAGTGATTCTTTTTCCTTTTTTTATTTCAGCTCGTAATCAACGTAACCGCCCGGTGCAAATGACAGTGCAAAATGCAGAGAAGTAGAGAGACAGACACCCCTGAGAGTGTAGTGATGTGCCAACACACAATCAAGTGATGCGAGGAGGGCGCCAGGCACCTGATTTGCACAGCAAATGCATTCGTGCTCGGATTAAAATCACACGGCGCGTTAGTCTCCTCGCTGATTTTAGCAGTAGAAGAGCAATAGGGCAGACAGAGAAAGATAGAAACAGAGTGGTGCGTTGATAATCGCCGCTAGAAGAACCCAGTGAAAGAGGAAAAGCCAGGATAAACTAAACTAAGCCTGGCAAGGCAGCGCCGGCGCAACCGTTGCCGGCCAACTGATGCATTTCGGGAGATGATCATCAGTGGGTGCTTCTACTGCTGCCGCTCTACCCGTGCCTTTCCCAATTCCCCGGTGATGTGTCTAGGTGTGTGCTGTGCTTTATGGCGCAAAACGGTAATTGAAAAGCAGATCATTAATTGAAGCCACTGTTGAGCTGCTGCTGGTGCAGGCACCTTCCCTTCTATTTCTCTCGAATCAATGTCACCCGGTGACGCCAACAGCATACAGACTGCCTGACAGACAGACATACAGAGAGACAGTGGTCACGAACAGTATTTTCAGCGTTGCACACGGCAGTAGACAGACAGACAAAAAAGTATTCTCTAATGGCATTTCACTCTGTGGATGGCCACCGCTGACGCTGTGTTCTCTTGAATCACTGCTTAGCGTCACTTTGTTTTTGATGAACATCGACATTACTTCATCGATGGTGCACACTGCCGTCTCTCTTTTTAGTTTTTAGCAAAAGTAGCCCAATTTTTTCTTCGCTCACTTTCACATTTGACGTCGACTGCCGCCGACAAAGTGCACAGCTGCAAATGCATTTTATCTCGCATAATCTTTGCTTTTGCTAACGACCACCACCTCCAACAATACAGCTACCACTACCACTTGACGTTTTCATGTAACCACGACTTTTTTTTNGCAAATGCATTTTATCTCGCATAATCTTTGCTTTTGCTAACGACCACCACCTCCAACACTACAGCTACCACTACCACTTGACGTTTTCATGTAACCACGACTTTTTTCATTTTTACAGAACGATACAAACAGCGTGACAGTGTGCTACAAAAAATAAAGTATCTGCAAACAGACAGCAAAAGCAACTCGAAGCAAAGAGAATGTCTGACAAAATATCTGACCGATCGTCGGAGGCGGATGCCGACGAGAACTGGAAGACCAACTCGCGACAGTTCATTCGCAAGGGCGCCTACAAGAAGAACAAAACCGCCCAGGTGCTCGACCATGAGTTCATCTCGCGCTACTTCAAGCAGCCCACCTTTTGCAGTCACTGTCGCGACTTTATCTGGGGTTTTGCCCGTAAACAGGGCTACCAGTGTCAGGTAAAACTTTGGTAGAACTTCTAATCAGTTTCAGAACTGTAACCTTCTTTACTCCGTCTGTTTTGCTAGATCTGCGCCCTGAGTGTGCACAAGCGCTGCCACGAATTTGTCACCTTCCGCTGCCATGGCGCCGACAAAGGCATCGAAACGGACCCGCGCAAGATTCACCAGTTCAACGTGCACACCTACGCGACTCCCACCTTCTGCGACCACTGCGGCTCAATGCTGTACGGCATCTTCAAGCAGGGCCTGCAGTGCAAGTCCTGCCTGATGAACATTCACGAGAAGTGCAAGGTCAACGTGCCGAACATGTGCGGCTGCGATGCGGTGGAGAAACGAGGTCGTATCGAGCTGGAGGTGCGCGTCGAGCCGGCCGACGAGAAGAGCGACGCCCAGCTGCAGATCGTCTGCGAGGTGAAGCAGGCGCGCAATCTGCCCATCATGGACCCGAACGGCCTCTCCGACCCGTACGTGAAGGCGAAGCTGGTGTCGAGCAACGGCGGCAGTCAGACGTCGATCAAGAAGAAGACCAAAATCATCAAAAACTCGCTCAACCCCGAGTGGAATGAGACGCTGAAGATTGAGATTCACTCGAACGACAAGGACCGCCGCCTGGTGATCAGCGTCTGGGACTGGGACCTGACGTCGCGCAACGACTTCATGGGCAGCCTGTCCTTTGGCGTGAGTGAGCTGATGAAGAACCCCGCCAGCGGCTGGTTCAAGCTGCTCGGCCAGGAGGAGGGCGCCTTCTACAATGAGCCGCTGCCGCCGCCGGGCACCAATCTCATTGACTACCTGAAGACGCTGCAGACGGACCAGAATAAGCGCACCGCCTCGGAGCCGGGCGCCGGCCGAACGGGAGGCAGCGCCCTGGTGGACAGCCTCGGCCACAACCTCAAGTACGCCTCGCTCTCCTCAAAGCCGGCGGAGCTGCAGACGCGCCTGGACAGCTTCAACCTGCTGAAGGTGCTGGGCAAAGGCTCCTTCGGGAAAGTGCTGCTCGCCGAGGCGAAGAAGGGCAAGAAGCTGTACGCCATCAAGGTGCTGAAGAAGGACGTGCTGGCGATGGCCGACGACGTGGAGAGCGCCATGGTGGAGAAGCGCATTCTCGCGATGATGTCCAAGCCGCCCTTTCTCGTGCAGCTGCACTCCTGCTTCCAGGACAAGGAGCGCCTCTACTTTGTCATGGAGTACGTCAACGGCGGCGATCTGATGTTCCAGATTCAGCGCTCGCGCAAGTTCAAGGAGCCGATTGTCTGCTTCTACGGCGCCGAGATCGCCATCGGTCTCTTCTTTCTCCACTCCCGCGGAATCATCTACCGAGATCTCAAGCTGGACAATGTGCTGCTCGATGCAGAGGGACACATCAAGATTGGGGACTTCGGCATGTGCAAGGAGGGAATGTTTGGCTCAAAAACGACGCGCACCTTCTGCGGTACGCCCGACTACATTGCACCGGAGATTATTCAGAATGTGCCCTACTCAAAATCTGTCGACTGGTAAGGGATTTTTACTTAGAGATTGTTTAACTGTCATTAATGTCAATTGTACAAACAGGTGGTCTTATGGAGTGCTCATCTACGAAATGCTAACCGGAATGGCCCCATTTGACGGGGAGGACGAGGAGGTTTGTTTTTCACTGAAAAAGAAGTTTTCAAATCTAATCATTTCATTTTTTAGGAGCTGTTCCAGTCTATTCAGGAGAACACCGTCCTCTACCCAAAGTTCATCTCGAAGGAGGCGAAGGACCTCTGCAAGTCCTTCCTCTTGAAGGACCCCACGTACCGCCTGGGAGCGGGCATCAACGACGAGGAGGAGATTCGCTCACATCCCTTCTTCAGACGCATCGACTGGGCGAAGGTGCAGGCCAAGGAGATACAGCCGCCCTACAAGCCGTACATCAGCAATGATCGACTGGGTGAGAACTTTGACCCGTCCTTCACGAACGCCAAGCTGACGATGACGCCCAGCGACCAGTCGGTGATTGCCAATCTCAATGGAAACGAGTTTGATGGCTTCTCTTTTGTGAATCCCGCATTCCAGGTGGCCGGTCCCGGTGCGATGCAATGAACACCTCCGGTAAACAACCACACAAACCACACTTCCGCCTTGAAGCACACCTAAACACATACACACATTGCGAGATCTGTGATTTGCACTGTGCACTTTTAACTTCCCTCGTTATCATTTGACGCACACAAACACACACACATTTTCAATTTGAAATGAGCCAATGCCTCGCCAAAGAGTCACTCGCTGACTTGAATTGCTTTGTACATAGAACGCCAAACACCTACACCCACCCACCCAAGCCCATTCACATTTCAACAAGATTTCCAGAGGGTGAATAGCTCATTGAAGAGGAGTTCTTTATCGTTTGCTTTTTGAGTATCTGCGCCATTGCCACCATCTCCCCACCATCACCACCGGTACCTGTTTCAACCCGTTTCTCCTCTTTCTTTCTCTCCCCAAGCATTAATCACAAATCTTTCTCTCTAACCCCTTAGTATTTATTTTACTCTGTCCCTCTGCCCCCACAATTTCAGATTCAACATATTTTGTTTTTATCATTTCGCTTCACTTTGTTTTCTATTGACTTCTGCATTTTCTTTATTTTTCCAACAAATAAAACTCATTTGATTTTATCGAATGTATGAGGCAATAAAAGCAAAAACAAGAACCACTTACCCTTTTTGAAAAACGTCATTTCTGCTGTTGCGTCACCGCTGTCGTTGAGTGACAATGAGTCCTGTTCCAGTTTCCCCAAAGATAGAGCGCATAACGAAGATCACCAAACCAAACAATGACAGTCGAGAGTACCGTGGTCTGGTGCTGGCCAACCAACTTCGAGTGGTCCTCGTCAGCGACCCGAGCACTGACAAGTCTGCCGGCAGTCTTTCCGTTAGCGTCGGTTCAATGGCCGATCCGCCGGAGATGCAGGGAATGGCCCACTTTCTCGAGCACGCTCTCTTCCTCACCACCAAAAAGTACCCGGACAATAAAGTTCTTTAAGAACTTTATTGTCCAGCACGGAGGACGGACGAATGCTTTCACCAGTCTTAATGAGACAAATTACTTCTTTGACGTAGGACCGGAAGCCTTGCCCGGCGCCCTGGATAGGTTCGTTGCTGAGTCAGCTGACGATCTGTTGTTGTTGTTTTCAACAGCTTTCTTCTCTTGCAGATTTGCGCAGTTTTTCATCGAGCCGCTCTTTCCGCGCGATCTGATTGAGCGTGAGTTGCAGTCGATTCAGTTTGAGTTTGAGAACACCATTACCAGCGACTCGCATCGTTTTTACCGTCTGCGAAAGTTGTTTGGGAATCCAAAGCACCCTTTCGCTAAGTTCGAGACGGGCAATCGACAGACGCTGCTAATATGCGATGAACTTTTTAAAGAGATGATCCGCTTCTACGAAAAGTGGTATTCGGCAAACATTATGACCTTTTCGGTCATAGGGAAGGAGTCACTGGACCAGCTGGAGAGCGTGGTCATTCCCCTGTTTGGGCAGATTGTCAACCGAAATGTGCAGCCGCTTTGGTTTGACAAGCACCCGTACACGGCCGAGTACTGTCGACGAGTCACCAAGGCCATTCCCTTTGTTGAAACGCGAAAGGTAAAGTGCAAAATGTTGGTGCGACTTTGATCACCCATTCTAACAACTGCACGAGACCAGTTGATCATGTTTTTTCCACTGCCAGACTTCACCAGAGATAGAAGACTGCGCGATGCCCTCGCCTACATTACCTTCCTTCTCGGCCACGAGGGACCTGGCAGTCTGCTGGCTGAGCTGAAGGAACTCGGCTACTGTACCGTCTGCGACGTGGACTACTTCTTCTACAGTGGCTTTGGCTTCCTCGACATCGACGTCAACCTGACGCAGGGCATCACCAAGAACACTGAAATTGTCCAGTTGCTTTTTCAGTACATCGGCATGCTCAAGGCGACGCCGCCTGACAAGCGTATCTACGAGGAGATAAGCAAGGTCAATGAAATCAAATTTCACTTTCGTGACAAGCTAAGCCCTCAGTTCTGTGTCAAGTGCATCTGCTCCAATCTGCACATCTACTCATTTGAAGATGTCCTCTGCACGCGCGCTCTGATGGGGCCATTTGACGCGGACGCCATTCAAAGCCTGTTCAAGTACCTGGACGTCAACTACCTCAGCCTGCAGGTAATCAGCCCGATCTTCAAAACAAAAGGCATTCCACTGCAGAAGGACCCCATCTACGGCACAGAGTACGCCATCAGCAATATGACCACCGCTGAGCTGGCCAACTGGGCCAAAGTTGAGCTCAACCCGGCGTTCTTTCTGCCCGCTTCCAATGAGTTTATTCCTGAACGCTTTGCGCTGAAGCCAACTGCAAAGCCAGGCCTGGAAATACCTGAACTGGTGCAGAGTAATGAGTTTCTTAAAGTGTGGCACCTGAAGGATAGTACGTTCAATGTTCCGAAAGCTTTCTACGGGTTCTTCTTCAAGAGGTGAGTATCTTAGTTTAGTCAGATTTTAATGAAACTTTGTTTTTGTCTAGTCAACTGGTTCAGGATTCTCCCTTGAATTCCAATTTAATTGGTCTCTTCATCAAACTATTCTACGACTACGTCAATCAAAAGTTTTACTCCGCTGATTTGGTTGGCATCAACTACAACATCTCCACTAACAAGTTGGGCCTTGAAGTAAATACCATATTTGAAATCGGCATCCGCTAACTAAATTGGTCATTTGTCTCAACTTTCAAACAGATTACCGTTGATGGTTTCAACGACAAGCTAGACGCCTTTCTACTTGCCTTCGTCAATGAGCTGATCAACTTCAAGATCAACCCAAAGCGAAGTGACATCGTCTTTGGACTGTACATAAATTCACTGAAGGTTTTCGATACGTATCCCATCTCGACTATGCTGTACATGTACCAGGATGTACTTCTCACAGCAAACTGTTGGACCTACGATGAACTAATTGAGGCATTTCCACACTCCACTGAGGACAAAATTTTGCCGTTGATGCGCAACATCTGGGCAAATTGTCAGGTAGAGGTGCTCGCTCACGGCAACATTGACCGTGAGGAAGCTGTTCAGCTGGCCCAAAAGGTGAGCCAACTGCTGACCAACTCTATGAAGCCGTACTCCTCCAGTCTGCACGTTCTCTACGACAACAACCGCGACATTCACCTGCCCTCGGGAACGAGCGAGTTCGCCATTACCAATTCGCACCACGAGAACCACGGCTTTCTGCTGTACCACCAGATGGGCATTCTCAATCTGCAGCACCAGGCGCTGCTCGAGCTAATGCACCAGATCATCAGTGAGCCCTACTTCAATCAGATAAGAATGGCCGAACAGCTGGCCTATGTTACCTTTGTGTCGCAGAAGTTCACCAGGTCAGGCACTGTGGGGCTGAACATTCTCATTCAGTCTGCCTACGAGCTGAAGTACCTGGAGAGCCGTGTGGACGCTTTTCTCAACTCGCTGGAAGATCACCTGAAGAAGATGCCACTGGAGGAGTTCAACAAGGAGCGCAATGCGCTGATTACGCAGATCAGCGAGAAGCCCAAGCAGATGTTTACTTTCTCGTGGAATCTCTGGAAGGAGATTCTTCTCAGTCAGTACGTTTTCGATCGTGACACCAAACTGGTAGCCTACCTCAAGCGCTTCAAACCGAGTGACATTCTTGAGCTATATCGAGGTACACTGCGCACTGACAATCCACGCTGTCGCCGGCTGCTCATTACCATCAAGTCGGCAAAGACAAAGGAGATGCAGGGCAAGTTTCCCATCAGCGGCGAGGCAGCGGCACCAAAGCATGCGGAAGAGATGCCACTGAAAGAAGCGAATTCAGGCCGAGGCAACGCTTTACCTCAAACGGGGAATCAGTCATCATCGTCAATAAAGAGTGAACACAAGGTAAGTTCTGCTGTAATAGCAACACCGCTTTTATGATTTATTTTGACAGATGAACTTTTGTTTATTTTGCCCCTTTCTTTCTTTCTCTTTCCACTTTTCAGGGTCGCATCAAGATAAAGCATATTCGTAAATTCAAGTGCGAATGCAGCCTGTCGCCTATTCCTAAGATAATTATTGACAAAATTTGAAGATGGTCAGCTTTTCGAGAAGAAGGGTTGCAATAAATTATCGGCTTTTAGTATTCAACAGCCACCATCTGTACTCGGCGACAGCACAGCAGAGAGCAGCAGCTAAACGAATGAACAGACGATATTTCCAATGTACAGTTGTATGAACATTCCTGCTGTTGCCATTTCGGTTGCTGCTATATAACCCGGTCACGTAGAGCGCACAACGCCACCACTGCACTTCTATTCTCCTACGCCATCACAGATTTGCTGTTGACTGTCGTACAGTGCCGAGGTGCTCATGTGCTCTCTCAAGTGCACGGCATCGTGTGCACATTTGAGGCAGTCTGTTTGGCCGTAAACACTTCCTCGAAGTGAACAGCTCGACCGCTGAAGAATCACCACCTTCATCATCCGGAACTGAAGTTGTTTGCTTGTTGTCCCTGTTGTTTCACCTTTGCACACCTGTGCGCGCACTTCATCTGTAGCTGTGCATTTTTAGCCGCGCACTACTGCCCGCTTGTTTGTCAGTCTGCCTGGCACACACTGTGATAAGACTGTGTCCCCTTTTCATCATCCTTGTTTTTATCCCCTGTGTGCTTGCTCTGTTTCCCGGTAGCATTCATAATCTGCAGACAGCAGTCTGTAACAGTACATTTTTCGGCTACTCAACACGGCTTTCAACAAACATGACGATATCGTACAGCAACACGATGATTGATTACGCCAGCCTCGGTCCCGGTGAGTGTGACCAGACCATTAGTGTCTGCTGTTTGTTTTTGTTTTGTTTATCTACCTTGCTAATTATTATACAATTGCTAATTGACTTGTCTCGATCGATGCCGTCTGGACGACCCTAATGATGACAGAATTTGAGCGTCTATTTTTATTGGGTTGCCAAAATCTAAGTCGGTCATCAGCATGAGTTTATTTGAAAATAGTTTTTACGGGAAATTCTGATTGCTTGCTGCATTATTCAAAATGAAAGTGAAAGACGCCACTGGGATGCATTTCCATTTCTCGTTTCCCTGGGCACATTTTGCCGACTTTACTCGTCGCAAAACTCCCGCCAGCTCAGCGGCAAGCCTAGATAAGCGTAATACGTTTTCCTCTTCCAGCAATGATTCATACGCTCCTATCTCTGGGGAAGACACTAACTCGCTCACACACTCGCATCTTCTAATGATACTTGTGTCTGTGCTAATTTAGCAATAACCAACTAATCATAATTTGCCAATTAGCGTTTTTGACTTGTCTTCACTGACTGACTGCCCTAATGACACTGGTGGTGGTGGTACTGATGATGATGATGATGATGGTGGTGGTGGTGGTGACACAACAAACACAAACACAAACACAACCATCGCTGCCCGTCTTGATTGAGCATCATCGAGGCAGTGTCTTCATTTATTCATTTACACACAGCCCATCTGTACGTTGCTTTTTCATTTATTTTCAGCTAGTCAATCGATTAGCGGCGAGCCGAGCGCCTGAAGTGTGCAGTGCACATCATCGCGCACACCTCATTGATATATTTGTGATTTGGTTGCTGTACCAGTACGAGTAGAAATGCGGCGGCTGCGGCATCATCATCATCATCAGTCGGTGAATGATGATTGTCCACGACTGTGGTGGCTAGAGACGCATATGGCGTATGATCTATTCGCAGGCACGTAATTAATTTTTGCTTTTTGTGTCTAATGGCTGCACGCTAAACAAAAAAAATGTTTTGAAAGTTTGTTGCTGCTGCTGTTTTGACTTTGGATACTGCTTCTGAGTCCTTTTATCGGATGGCTAATCCGCTGTGCTAATTAGCCGCCCGGTGCGGCAAATCTGGCACAAAATGGTGCACAGCGTGGCAGTGGTGGCCACAGAGCGCCCGGTTAATTGCAGCAATCAGCTGTTGCACTGCTCCGGTTGAAGACTGCTGCCCCTATACCGAGAGCGGCAAAAATGAACGATGACAGGAGCAGTACAGTGCAGTTTGGTGCAGCTGATGCTGTTATTTGCTCAGAGTATCGACTGCTGGTGCAAGTGAAGTGCCAGTGAAGCACAACTTATTAGCTGCAGAAGACATAAGTGCTGCTGTAACTGCTCTTTCATAACTGACAGCTTTGTCTTCAGGCTCTATTCACCCGCTTCACTTTCCACCACCACCACCACCACTAGCCAACCGATCACTGCGAGCGGACAATGTTTTATTTATTGCATTAGGTGGTTGCCCAAGAAAAAGTCGTTGAAAACACTTTGTTGCTCGTTTTTCTTTATCTCTCTTTTTACTCTCATAAATAATTAGAATGTTTTGCGTAATCTAATTTCTGATAGCTCCAGCTTGTTTTTGGCGCGCACTTCCTCTACACACAATTACCTTAATGCTTGTGCCTGGTATTGCAGCGCATTTTTTCCTTTTCTTTATTAATTAACAAGGAAGAGCAGCTATTTTCATAATTAGGTAGAAGGGAAGAAAGGTGTTAAACGGTTGGTCAAGAGTAGGGGAAGAACTGGCCGGTTTATACACACATTGAAAACTTGCAAAAGTTGTTTCATTTTGGGAATCGCACTCTAATGATGAGCACCATAATCACTGTTGACCTGTAGAATTTTCCACCCTTTCTGAGTCAGCCATTAGAACTTTTGAGCAATGGCATCGTTATCTTTCAATTACTGCCATTAACAGAAGCATGAACTGCTTGCAATCGATTTGTAACCCTTTTTCATCGATTTTCATTCTTTCGATCAAAAGCGACCATCTAGGAGACAGCTTATCTAATGTGTTGCCAACTACCCCTTTGCTACCCTACAATTGCTAGCCTCCTTTATTGCCCCCCTTTAGCGCGAAGGAGATGTCGTTTTCTCACTCAGGTGGCAAACATTGCAAACACACACAGACACTGGTAATAGGCAAAATGATAACGATAGGGAGTTGATAAAAGGGTTGGTCCATTGTCTCTCTACGTCGTTGATGACTTTTTATTTGCTTTTCATCACCTGACCACCCTGGAGAGGGGCCACTTTTGACGGAGGGGGACATCTCATCTTGTTTCATCTCTATTCATCCCTTTTCGAAGTACACACACAGACAAACATGCAAACCGTTGCTTGTTTGTTTGTTGTAGAGGTCATTTATTTTGATTGAGAGAACTGTGCCGAAAAGTCGGTCGAGAAGAAGGTAGCTAAAACATCAACGACAGGAGCACACTTCCTCGTTTGTTATGTTCGTGAACTTTATTTTTACCATTGCCCTACTACTACAAGTCGGTGCGTCATTGTCAGCACAGTTATGTTCTGTACTGTATATTACTACAGAAGTACTACAACTGCCGCTGCAATAAAGCACCGGCAACATGCACACTACCCTCATGTGTGTGAATTAATTTATTACCCTCACTATGAAAGGGGGAAACTGACTGAGACTATCTCTACTGATGACTTTGCATGCGAAGTCTCTGGAGGAATATTTCCGACAGCGATCGCAAGTAGTGGCCAATGGTGATGGTGATGATGATGTTGATGATGATGGTGTTGCTGTCCGTGTGATAGTGTTTGGGCTAATGAAATGTGTGCTAATGGGCTCTTCTAATTGCTGAGACCAATTGAAGGAAGGAAGGAAGAACTGTTGAATGGTGCGCAGTTGGTGGCTGCTGTTGCTGCCATGGCTGAGATAGCAAAATAACCCCTTCAAGTGAAGGGCGGTCGATTGTGTTAATTACGAGCATCAGCTCTTCTACTGCCGACTACTATGCACACATGCAAACAGCTGTTAGTCAGTGCTGACTGTGCCGGTTCTGGTCAGTGACCACTACAGAGCAGAAGTTGTCCAGAGTATTAGACGATTGAATAGCCATTCACAGAGACGTACACTCACTTGCCATTCACATTTTCCTCCTAAGCTCTACTCTCAGCTCACACTTACTGGCGGTATAGGCAGTGGTGAGCAGGCAGTTTCTGTCCCCTCGGCAGTCCACTTCCGCATTGAACCCATTCCAGTGGCAGAGGGCCACTTTGCGCAGCACTCTGTCCATCTAATCCGGTCGACGAGAATCGAATTCCGCCACTACTGTGCGCCATTTGTCTTTGCTACGACGTACTTTTTTGAAGAACGTGTTTATCTCAGGGCGACACAATGCCGCCTGAACCATTTCCTCAAGTGAGTGTTTTGTTCATCGCTCTCTCTCCCTTTTCGCTGTTGGTGGCTAATGTCCTCTGCCTCCTTTTCTAGGTTATCGGTAATGCCTGCAGTCATCTCTTGTTATGTCTCCTCTCCTTCTTCTTTTTGTTTGCCTTTGTCTGCCTTCTCTTGCTCTACAGACTCCTGTCATCACAGCAGCAGCAGCAGCAGCAACTGTGCACAAAGGGTCGACCTGAGCAAGTGTGCTCTAATGCTAATGACAAACACTGCTTTCTTCGATGGTGCAGTGTAGGGTAGGGTTAGGGTAGTAGTCGACATACTTACCTGGTGATGATGGGCAGTCCACTTACTTATCTATTGACTCACATTGACAGTGCAGTCATTGAAGGAGGCATTCAGGAAGCATGGCGCCCAATCAGCAGGAGGGTAGTCCAGTAATTGTGTCCAGTCACCACTACTTGGTGGCCTACTTCTACTGTTTACTCTTTGAATACGTAGTAGTGCATGGCAAACAATCACCGAATAGAAGAGGGGAAGAGTGCGATGAGAGAAAAAGATGTTGGCCATAGATGTGGCCATCATTGACCACAAGAAGAGCATTTGTGCGGGCAATCAAGAGAGATAAAAAAATTGCCTTGTTAATTGTCATCAGCAGCAACTGCAGCATGTGTGCTCTCCTTTTTCTCTTCAATGTCACTGGTTCACTGCTCATCTCCATTAGCGGACAATTAGCGCGTCAAGTGTCTTGTCAACTCTACAACTTGCCAACTCTTCACTGTCATGGTATGCAGTGTGGGCATCAGCAGCAACAGCCATTGTCATGCATGTCGTCAATGTCGCCAAAGGCACCAACAACGTAGCAATTGTCAAATGCTGTTTCGGTTGCTGCAGG